TAGTAGACTCGCCAACTTTAAGGGCATTTAAATGGTCATTGGATAAACATATGGATGATAATGGAATAGTTTAGGTTAGATGGGCTTCAGATTGGTTTCACAGGTCGGCGCAACATCGAGGGCCGAAGGGCCTGTACTGCGCTGTAATGTTCTATGTTCTATGTATCATTTAACAGAGCATGACTGACACTATTTGGGAGCAAGTAAAATACATAATTCTTTGAATCAAAAGGGACACTTGAAGTGTTTGGATTTTAAAAATGATTTGATAAATCACATAAAAATGATTACTCAAGCAAACAGTCAATTTCATTCCAAATGTTACAAGATGCCAACTTTAGATTGAAAGCAAAGGCTAAAAAGTGTTAGCTGAAGAGTTATTGCTCCAGATTGGATTTCATACTTAGCAATCAGGGAAGAAAATGAAACTACCAAAACTTTGATTTTTTTTGAAAAAAAAAGTCTTTCAATTAATTACTTTTTTTATACTTTTATGTTTGTTTTTCAAAAGTTAAAAAACCTCAGGTTTCTAACAACATACTAAGAAAAGCAATAATCATGGAACATCACTATTGTACTAACCATGATCACTGCATGACAATTATTGAGTCAATGAATGAAAATATTTATCAGAAGTTTAATCTTCTTGGAGGCAGATTATGGCTAAAATTATCATTCAGTGACCGAACACAATGACATAACCACACATCTGAACAGTTAGTCTGTTAAAAAGCACCAGTTCACACAAAACAAGCATTTGATAGACTACCGAAATGATGCCGAGTTACAAATTGTCTGAGACAGCATTCAGACAGACTCACCATGCAAAAAAAAAATTAGGAGCTCAAAACATTTAGATTGAGGGCAATAGCTGGTCATTGTATAAAACGTGCTTTAAAAATCTGTTATAGTTAGTTCTTATAGATTTATTAAGGGGCATGCTCAGAAATTACTAGAATTGCTGCCAACACTGGCATAAATCATCCCATTCTGTTTGCATGAGTGCTTCATTTTTAAAAAAAAATGTGAAGTGAAGGCTAACTTGACAAATAGCAAACAACATAGTAAAATGTGCTACTTGCAAAATATGCAATATAAATAGTGATATGAAAGCCATCAATTTGTACATTTTTAAGAAAAGTAAAATAAATGTAATACAACAACACACTTAAGTTGGGAAAATGAACTTAAGTACAAAAGCAAATATGGAGTTAATATATCTATCTGCATAAATATGCATATAATTTATTTTAAAGGCAAAAATAGAAATTGTTGAAAAACTTCAGCAGTCTGGCAGGATCTGTGGAGAAAAATCAGAGTTAACTTTTTGGGTCGAGTGATGTTTCTCTCCACAGATCCTGCCAGACCGGCTGAGCTTTTCCAGCAATTTCTATTTTTGTCTCTGATTTATAGCATTCACAGTACTTTTGGTTTTTAATTTAGAACAAAAAAAAATCAAGCCATCTATTGTTGTTACAGACCAATGCACCAACAATTGATTCAAAGCTGAACTGCAGATGATGATGTTAAATCACATCCAAAGAGCAAAGAAAATGTACCATTTGGAAGTCCAGGGTCAGAAGAGCGATGGATTCTCGGAGGAAGATGGAACCTAGCATCCATTGCGGGACCACCACTTGCCAACCTTCGAGGGCTTGGTGCTCTAGTTCGGACTGTTTCAGTTTGAGTAGGATGTTTTGAATGCTCTGGAGTCTTAAAAGTAAGAGTAGCTTAAGCATTTAAATTATAAGGCCATAAGACCATAAGTAATTGTAACAGGAGTAGGCCATTCAGCCCCTCAAGCCTGTTTCATAATTCAGCAGGATCAGATATTCTTCATATCCACTTGCCTGCATTTCTCCCCAAACGATTAATAATTTATCTATCACAGCCATAAATATACAAGGACTTTGCAGCAAGGAGTTCTAAAATCTCTAATCCTCATGGAAGAAATTCCGCCTCATCTCAGTCTCAAATCGACGCTCCTTTATCTGAGATTATACCTTCTGGTCGGAGACTCTCCTGTGAGGGAAATATCCTCTCAGCATTTACACTGTCAAGCCTCATAAGAATCCTTGCTATAATTTTGGGAGTGGGGGAGTGTAGAGTGCTGGGGGAAGAAGAGATATCGATAGTTCAGATTAAGTGATCATGTGAGAATGGCAGAATAATTGTGTGTCTAACTGCCAGACTTGAAAGAACAGACAGCCCCACTCTCTGTTGGGGTGGGGGGTCATCTCACCTGCCTCCCACATTCAAAGGATCATTCTCCACCATTTCAGACAACACCACCGCCAAACACATATTGACAAACAGCTGTCCACTGAGCATCATACCAGAAATTCTCAAAAGCTACACTCATAAATGACACTTTAAATTTTCATTGTTTTAGAAAAAAAAAGTGTTAATTATCACAGCAGACTGCATTGGTATTGAAGTCTTACTTTTACTGTAGTTAATGCTGGCGGCAATGGGACACCCATAGGCCAAGCTCTCACATCTTGTCCATAACCAGGAGGAACCAATACCTGTAATCACAGATTAGAATCCAGTATGTTTTCACACTATGGATTTTTGCTCTAGAAGTGAATAAGAAAATGTACTTACAATAATTGGAAGGTAAAGCTTAAGTGACTCAACATGTAGAAATAAAATCATAACAGTGGGTATTAAAACACTACTGAAATGAAGGCGGCTTTATCTCTTGTAATTATTTTCAATTTCAATGAAACAGGAAATAACCCAAAGTACTTGTAGCCAAGAAATCCATATCTCTCATTGTACAGGTCACATATTACCTTTGCAATGCCAATCATGCTCACCTTTCCTCATCCCTCTCTAGATAATTTTAATGAATCTGTTCAATCATGTTATGACATACCTTGGAGCAGGTGGGACTTGAATCCATCTTTACTGTCCACTATGCTACCAATTTTGGTGTCATCCGTAAACCTGCTAACCATGCCTTCTATTTTCTCACCCAAATCATTTATCTAAATGACAAACAGAAGTGGACCCAGCACCAAACCCTGTGGAACACCGCTGGTCATAGGCCTCCAGTCCGAAAAACCGCCTTGCCAAAGTCTGCGGCAGAAACTAAACAGCTGATAATTATAATGGAAGGGAAATTTAATTAAGTGCCTGTTATCTTTTGTTAATTCAATTCTATCTAATCCTGAGTAGGGCTCTTGTTGTGCAATGGTGGTGTCCCTACCTCTGGACTACCATCTCAAGTCCCATCTGCTCCAGGGGTGTGTAATAACATCTCTGGACAGATTGATTACAAAAGCTCTCTCTAATTCTGAGTGGCAGACATGTCTGGAATCAAGATTAGAGTCAAAAGCATGGGCAATAGAACCACAATATGGAAAGGAATAGTTCACATCACAAATAAGAAGAAAAATAAACAGCTGTCACATAACTTTTTTCTGAGCCTGGCAGCTGGTTCAAATGAGCAGGGGCTAAACTCGAGCTGACTTTTTTAAAATTAAAAAAAAAGATCTGTGAGCCAAGCTAAAAAGCAACAGGAGAAAACAAAAAGCAAAAACTTGTATTATGTTGTCCCTTTACCAAATATACTATGGTGCTTCACAGGATCATTACACAAGTAAATTTGTGCCAAGTTTTGCCAAGGCGCTATTTGGAAAAATGACCAAGATCATAGTCAATGAGACTGCCCTGAAACGAGGAACGTGAAGCATACAGGGCGTAGGGAGGGTATTTCAGAGTTCAATGCCTTAGAATTTGAAGATATAGCCATTGAAAAAGGAGCAATTAAAATGCATGAATGTTCAAGTGGCTAGAATTGGATGAGTCCAGATATTTGAGAGGATTGTAGAACTAGAGAAGATCAGATCTGGAAGGACCAAAGCCCTAGAAAGATCCAAAAACATGATTGAGAACTGGGACCAAAAACAGAAATTGCTGCAGAAACTCGGGTGGTGTGGCAGCATCTGTTGGCAGAAAGCAGAGTTAACGTTTCGAGTCCAGTGACTCTTCATCACAATTGGTAGCTAGTGTTAGACAGCAAAGAGAGGAGTGATGGATGAATGGGAGTTAGTACAAAAGTTAGAACAAAAGCAGCAGTGTTTTAGGTGAACTCAAGCAGGATAAAATGTGAAAGGCCGGTCAGGGAGGCACTGGAATAATTAGGTCTAGAGGTAATCTAGACATGAATGATAGTTTCAGCAGTAGGCAGAGGCAGCGTCTGCAACAGGCAAGCTTCACTGGATATATCACAAGTAAATCTTGGTTCACATTTGACCTCAAGATAATGAACAGAAAGGTTTATCATCCGACAATTGCCAGGCTCAGGGATGTAATCAGCTAGGGAATAAAATTTGGAGCATAGACCATAACGAATAGTTTCTGTCATTCCAAAAGCTAGCTAAGAACTTTTCTGATGAAGGGTCTAGGCCCGAAACGTCAGCCTCTCTGCTCCTATGATGCTGCTTGGCCTGCTGTGTTCATCCAGCGCTGCACCTTGTTGTCTCGGATTCTCCAGCATCTGCAGTTCCTACTATCTCTAAGAACTTTTCTGCTCATCCAGTATGGCTTGGTGGATAAGCAGTTTGACAATTTAGTGATAATAGAGAGTTGATAGGGGTGCTGGAGTGGTAGCGTTTGGTGTCACCAGCAGCCATGACAAAATAAAGGCAGTGTTTTGGGATAATATCACCAATGACAGCATGTAGACAAATAGGTAGGGGCAAATGTCCAAGGATAAACTCTTGGGGGACTTATAGTAACACAATGTGGGTGTAGGAATGGAAGATTGTTGTAAAATACTGCAGACAGGAAAAGGACAAGGAGTGATCGTTTATCTTTGGGAAAGTCACAGAGGATGTCAGTTGTGACTGGTATGAGCAATTTCTGTACTGTGGCAAAAATTCAATTGGAGGAATTCAAACATGATGTTCCAGGGAAGATAGGAACGGATTCGGAAGGTAATAACCATATTCAAAGGACTTGGGAGGGAAAAAGGAATTTGAAGATGTGATGACAGTTGGAAGGACAGTAGGGTTAAAAGGACTTTTCTTTTTAAAACAAGAATATTGGCAGTTTTAGATCAAGGGACGTATGAAGAGAGAGAACCATTAAAACAATATCACTTCAGAGAGAAGCCAGGAAGGAAAACTGCGTCGGAGATAGTAGGAACTGCAGATGCTGGAGAATCCGAGACAACAAGGTGCAGGGCTGGATGAACACAGCAGGCCAAGCAGCATCATAGGAGCAGAGAGGCTGACGTTTCGGGCCTAGACCCTTCATCAGAAAAGGGGGAGGGGAAGGGGGTTTTGAAATAAATAGGGAGAGAGTGGGAGGCGGATAGAAGAGGGAT